CACAGGAGTGAGTATGTGGTGCTATTCAAATGCCTCCAGCACAGTTCTCATTACAATACTTAAGAGGTTATTTCTTACTAACCCACAGTGACAGAAACACTTTTTCATTATCATAGTACTGACATTTTCTGCATCAGAATATCTCCAAAAGCACAATACAGCACTAACACAAATGCTGATATGTCAGTATTCCAGCTTCATCCATTATGGGAAGTACGTCACGTTGTGACAGTTTAGGAATTAAGTGTTGTGTAACACAGAAAATAGATCTACAAAAATCATTTAAGAAATTACAGTATACAAAATTTCACACCATAAATTCCTTTTGGCAAGTGATAGATTATCTCTTCTCACTACTTTATCACCAGGTGACCCAGATTTTCACCTACATAGCCCACTAAAAAGTACTTAATAAAACACAGAAACAAATTGGACACTTGGAAGACTTTCCAAATGACCTTCAGAAAACAGATACAAAACTCCTTGGAGACATTTTTCTGTAAACAAGGTTGGTCATTTATAAAAGGAAATGCCAGTTTTGCGGTTACCAAAATGACTTAAATAATTTTCACCCCAAGTCTTTGCATATAACAGAACTTAACAGCAGAAGAGTCCTCCAGCCCAAGCCACAGGAGAATGCCAATTTACAGCTGCCTCTATAATTCATAATTTCTCTGTCTTTTTAGTCTCTCTTTCTATTTGTGTTGATGAATAGTATCTATGTAAAAGTTTCTCTTGTGTTGGCAGTCAACTGTAATTTCCAGCAAGGGCTCTGCATCATCTTTGTGGTTTTGGCATAGGTGTCACATTAAAAATAAAAAAGATGGGCATAAAAATAAAAAATAAGCTCAGCATATATTCTGTAAAAATACTCTAAGCTTCTGTATATTGCAATATTCACAGTTTCTTATTTTCACTTAAACTTTTTTTCCTTATTGAAAGCAAATTGAGTACATCATGGAGAAATCATTTACTCAGTCTTTTCCCAAAAGGAGATGGCTTCAGAAGGTTCATATCTAGGGTAATTACTTCCTGATTTTACAGTTGTAATTTTGTTTATTTAGATTTTGACAGCACTGGTTTTTAGCGTCAAAATCTCTTGAAGCTCATCATAATTCACCTATCAGGCTTGAGATGCATCTCTGGAGCTTAGTCTCATATTAAAAATTTAATACAATGACACTTGCACTTTGTGCTTAGCCAAATGACACTGGTTCTGAAATCTTTTAACCTAAATCATTATAGGAAAATATACGCTTGAAGTTCACTAGAACACAGTGAGCTTTGTACAAATAGGCCTAGTTTCAGCTGTTTGGTCTTAGGCTTCTTGTTCTGAAATTCAAAAAGTTTAGTCAGCAGTTTACTATTTTGTAACAGTGGGATTTCAGATAATATTTAAATGCAAGTCTTTATTCTCATAGTTTACATGGGCTCCTATGCTGAATTGCTGTGGGACTTGGGGCGTGTGACTATATTCACTGTTGGATTAGATTATTTTACTGTGCATGTACTGCAGATGACAGACTTCTCTATTTATAGACAGAAAGGTTTTAAATGTTGATTCTCCATCATTCTCTATTAGTTATTTTTATATGTCATTGCAATCATTGGGGTATTCTCTTATATATGACACTGCCAGAAGAAAAAACAAAAACAAACCAAACCAAAACAAAACCCTATGTTTTGTACTTGGATAACCTTTATTAGCAATTCTATGATTTAAGAACCCTAAATCTTAATTTTGCTGGCATACAAATTGGGAATATTCAGACCCCAGAATATGAACATCAATACATGTTTCATCCTCTATCATGGCTGCAAATTTAGAAATGTGAGACCTTTGTACGATGGATCAATGTCAAGGTACACCCATTATCCCATAATTGCAGTCATTCTCTTAACACCCTTTTGTAAAATCACTTCTGCAAGATCATCCATCTATTTCTGTCAGCTAAAAACTGTTGGGTCCCCAGATCCCAAGCCAGCTGTAGTTGTTTCTGACTATTCTGCACAGCATGCATTGGAAATTGCAGAGTTTCCTTGAGCTATTTTCACTGAAGCCTATGGATACTGTATGGACGTAACACTCAAAATCATGTTCAAGAATCTGCTGAACTCATTAACCAGGTCTAATAGGAAAGAAATCATAAAGGGTATAAAGGGCTCTTCACCTGCAGAGAAGTTTCATATTTCCAGATCACTTCCACATCTGAGCATTCAAATGCAAAGTCTTCAGGTTTTTTGAAAGTGTATTCCCAGGGTTTTGCTGATTAGAAATGAAAGATAGGAGTAATTCCTTCAATGTCAATGGGCTGATAATGATCAAGAAGTAAACTGTTAGCACTTTTGGCTGTGCTTTGGGGTTTGGGATCCTGGCTGGAATACAGATGCCATAGGTATGCACAAATAAAAGCATTAACTGCAGCCAAATAGCATAAGTGATCTGAGTTTTAGATCTGGCAGAAGTTCTATTACTTTTTTCTCAGTACCCTATCCCAGTACCTATTTATCCATCATTCCAGTTTTAAGAGCAAAAATCATTTAGAAGGTGACAAAATTACAGTATCCCCCCAGGATTCAGTACCAGCAAAGACTAAGTACTCAATTTCCTTAGAGGCACAAAATTTATTGCCTCAAATCTGCTCCTTAGGAGTAGTTCTAATTAATAAATGAATAATTAACTGCATGTGTTTTTAGGGGAAAAATGGAGAAAATTCTATTCTACATGAACTACCAGTGAACCCACAATGATGACTATTTTACATTTGGTTTGAACTACTTTTAAGCCAGAGCAATTAGTAAGACTGATTGCTTTCATTTGAATTGGTAACAGGTGTCTTCAATTAAAGCTTATACATCTTCCTTGAACTTGTATGTTCATCATCACTGTAGAATTTTATGCTGCCATGAATCATTTCTGCCAGATAAGACATCATAGCAAAATGTGGCAATGAAATTTTCAGAGAGAAATATTTTGGGCTAATTAGTATTTTGCCTGAAAGATAACAGAAGAGGAAGGAAATTTTGAATACTCAGAGAGCTCTCTGTGAGCCCTGAACTCCTCAGGGTCCCATGTAACCACTCAGAATTGCAATTAGATCTGAAAAAGGTTTTAAGCAAAAAGTCAATGTGTGCAGCTTAATTCCCTGTTTTGGAGAAGTCTTCCCCTACTGTCAGGAGAACATATTTATGTTTAGTCCTTTAACATATCATTTTTGTACTAATACCATCAGTTTTTCATAAGAAAATGTTCATCTGACTTCAAAACTAGGCTGAACTTCTTCAAAATTAACTCACTATATCCCGCATCTCTACACCACTGCTTGCAATGTTGGCTTATATTGGTTAAAAAACCAGTCATTGTGCTTTTCCATTCCTTTCTGACCACAATGTCAGGGAACAGTACAACACAGGGATAGAAAGGACAGATCAGTTTGGATTTCTAATGCTTTCTGTACCATTAAAGTCAAACTGCACACCTGGCTATGGCATATATTTAGCTAGGACGTTAATGTGTTTAGCAGTTCTTGTACCATATACAGCTGTATCAGTTCTTCTCCTATCGTTAGCAGAAAAGCACACATAAAAACTTAAATGTTGATGCGTTTCCTCTCACCCATTTCATGCTTTCCTTTTCCAACTAACTTTATATCAAGAAAACATTTTGACTGTAGTGGGGAAAAGACTATGAGAGAACCATGTGCAATTATTGTCTTCATATCACTGCAGAAGCTGAGAGTAGTCACCTAAGAAATTAGAGTCTAAACACTTGGAACTTGCTATACCAATGGAGCAGTTTTCATCTTGGAGCAGTGGCAGGGATATTATATACCTGAACTCGCTTTGGCTTTTCTGATTTTGGAGTCAGCTCTTTAAAGACTATCACAGGGAAGATTACAAAAGAAATTGCCTTATGGCTAATGTGCCAGTTTAAGTATTGAAGAATTTTTTTTTAAGTGTGAAGACAAAATGAAACAGTAGAAGATAAGACTGAAAGGAGAACAACATGTAAAAAAGCATACATAAGGTTAAGGCTTTAAAGTTTCAACTGGTGGAATCCACATGAATAACTCCCTGCAAGGAATTCCCTTCTAAATCACAATGTCATTAACTTTACTGATACTTCTAATGCAGAGACATTAATGCATCTAGGTTTTTAATAAATCACGATATAATCTTGTACAGAATAATATGAAATAATCTTTTTTTTCTCAACCAGTTATTATGAGTATAAAGGGAAAAGTATATACTTTTCAGGTGAAGAGAATGATTCGTGGGATAAAAATGAGAACCAAGGCACTGATTTAATTACCTTTTTTAAAAATCACTTTGATTAGTCTTTGATCCATCAGATTATGAGACAAAGAAGTTGGTAGCTTTGATTTAAGGAATTATTCATTGTTCATAGGGATTTAAGCTGAAAATAGGAAGGGTTCTGAGATGCTTCAGTGAAGCAGATGTAGAAGATAGAAGTAGTGCGGTAATACTACCTGCCAGGTAGGTTGAGCAGTTATTAGAATCTGCTGATTTTAAAAGCAGATGTTCAGATTGTAAAACTGTTTATATACACACATAGAAAAGTCATCCCTAGCTCTATAGAATGCATCTTGCTATAGTTCACTGAAATTTTGAACAAATACAGAAAAGAATGTTTTATATATTATTTCTGGCTTGACCTGAAAGATTAGAACAGGGAATTATCTAATATGGGTGATTTCTGAGTCTATTGAATAATTTAATTAATTTTCTCGAATGAAATCTGTCCTTGGACTCAATGCTTATGTTGTTTCCACAATTCCAAGGAAAGAAAAAAAAATATCTTCAGTTCTGAAACAAACAAACAAAACCCCAACCAAATAAAAAGTTTAAAACTCTCTAGCTTTTGGGTGGTTTGTAGGTTATTTAAATAAAGGGAATGAAAAGGTACTGAGTGTAACCATTAACATTACACACTATTGTTTCTGTAATTGCTTTCTCTTTTTTTTTCTACTTTCTTTCAGAGATCATCTATAGCTGGGTATTTAATGAATTCCCATCTTTTGTGGCAGAAGACAGCAGACGCTTCATCTCTCAAGAGACAGGCAATCTCTACATCTCCAAGGTGCAAACTTCTGATGTCGGCAGCTACATATGCCTGGTAAAAAACACAGTGACAAATGCCAGAGTTTTGAGTCCTCCTACACCTCTGACACTGAGAAATGATGGTAAGAAAGGCATTATTTCTGGGTATCACATGGAAGAAAAAATACTAAGCCAAAAATACTCTAGTTAATTTAAGAACCGTGATTTTACTGTTTTTCAATAACTGCTTGCATTTACTGCAGTAATCAGCAAAGGAAAGGCGTTCAAGGAGACAGCTTCTTTTAAAACTTCTAACAGTTGTGGGAATATTTAGACCTCTGAAGGCTGAGGTGCAATCTGACACCTCCTGATGTATTTTGTTTAAAACAGTTACTCCTTCTTGCTATTCTGGTACTCTGTCACTGATAGAAAGAAGCAAATCTTCCTCAGTAACGTCTGTTTCTTTAGGGCTCAGTTCATGTGCCTCGATGCAAGTGGTCACTGCCACACTGACATACCCTCAGGCCTCTGAGACATTGACAGGGGACCAGCAAGTATCACAGGGCATACAGACCAGCAGCAGGATGCCAGGAGATATACATTCATGCATCTCAGATGACACAAGGCATGCATAGTTAGACAACCGAACAAACACTCTATTGCTTAAAGCTTTACCTGTTGCTGTACTGAAGACCTGTTACACTTCCAGGCTCCAGTTCAATGCACTGATTAAGTACCACCAGGAACACCACGATAGCTTTGATTACAATGATAGTTAGTTACCCAGGTAGTTTTGCATTTCATTAAGGCATATAACTGCAGTATTTTTTCTGTAAATAAATGCCTAAATCTTATTATCGAAAAGTGACTTAGGATTTTTTTCCAAAAATCAAAAGAAAACACCTTCCCATAATATTTTTTACGGAGTAGTATGACATTTCAATATAAATGATATGTAACTCTGATTCTGTTGGAATATCTGCCTATAGACACAATTGTGTTATTTTCTCTTTTGCAGGAAAAAAAGATTAATATTTATTACATTATAATTGAGGGGGTTGTGTCTTCTGTCAAAATGATGTTATTTTTTGAGAATAATAATTAAGGATTTTGTAAGTGCCTACATTTTCCTTTTTTTCCAAGATGTTCCACATTTAGTGATGTTTTCTCATTCTTCAGAAATACATTTCAACAATTCAGCATACGTGATTCCATTTTTACATAAATCGGAGAGAGAGAGAGAGACTGAGGCTTTTGTCTTGCTTATAGCTTTTTCTAGAATAAGACTAGTCCTGTGTTTTAGATGCACTACAAAAGCTGGACTTAAACACAGATGACTTAGTTTAACAGAGTAAGCAAAAAATGGGTTCAAAGATTAGAGTGGAATTAAGTTAATGTTTATTTGTGGTAACAAGTTTAAATTTCTGTCTGCACAGCATACAGCCTCTGCAGCAAAAGCTGCATGCTTTACTTTATCATCTCCTATTTTCTTTTGCTGGTTTAGTACATATACTAATCAATGAGTTTCAGGTGTTTAGTTTTATGGAATTAATATAGCAGACCCAATTTTTTTTCAATATCAACCTTTGAAAATTAAAAAAACTAAACATTGACTGTCTTTTTAATCAGTTGAACTCTGAAAAAAAGATAGAATTTTATTGTCATATTTATTATTCATATCTTGCTCTATTGTTTCTTTATGACATTTATTCATGCTTTTATTGGGTTTTGTACAGAAATTCAACAGACTAGTTATCTATATCACACTAACAGTACACAGGCACACAATACAGTATAAGACATAGAGTAAATAAGGATAAATGCAGAAGTCTACATCACTGAGCTAAGAAACAAAATCTGTGAAGGAAAACTGCACAGATTTTCTTATATGTCAAGTGGGTAGTATATACCAGCCTCAAGCGAATTTGTGTTTCACGGCTGGCTGACATACAACTGTGATAATCCAACCTTCTGACTGTCCTGGAGTATTAGGGAGGCATTTGCACATGGATGAACTGTTCCTCAACTATTTCCCTATTCATTTTTTCACACACATGAATTTCTACCTGTCTTCCATGTATTAATTTTTATCTGTTGGGATTTCTGAAAAGCTCCTTTACTGTGGTGGAGTTCTTCAGTATTTCTTAGTAAATTGCTTGTTTTCCTGTATGACTGAGCAAGTTGCTCAGTGAAGACACCCAGACTTTCCACCTAAACTTGCAGTCTCCATAAACCTACCTTGAAAAAATATTCAGGAAAATTCTGGTTGCTAAATCATATTCATTATTTAGGACATCTGCCTTGTTTTACCTCCTCCACAAAATGCAGGGGCCTTTTAAAAATTATTTGGAATCACAGTTAAAATATTCCATTAATGGTACTGTACTTTTTGATAGAAATTGCTTTAGGTTATACTGCCTTGTCCATTAACAATTATTAAAGGTCGATGACAGAATTTTAAATACGCATGTACATTATACTCCAAAATATGTGGTAATATAGCTGCTGAGAAGAGGTGGTCATTAGAGTTAAAGAAAATTAGAATAATTTGTGGAGCAAGAAACAGCTGAGGATGGACTCTAATAAGGAAGTGAGAAATTAAGAATGGCATTAAACCAAACATCCAATTACCTGAAAATTTACTTTATGCTATGTTGCTGAGTTGTTTTATATGATTGTGAATATGGCTTTGTCGTGGTTTAACCCAGCTGGCAACTAAGCACCACACTAAGCCACTCGTTCACTCAGTGGGATGGGGGAGAGAATCAGAAAAAAAAAGACCCATGGGTTGAGATAGAGACATTTTAATAAGAGAAAATAATAACAATAATAATAATGATAATGGTAAGAGTATATAGAGAATATACAAAACAAGTGATGCACAATGCAATTGCTCATCACCTGCTTACCGATGCCCAGCCTGTCCCAAGCAGCGATCACCCTCCCCCCAACTGACTAGCTCCCCCTGAGCATGATGTCATATGGTCTGGAATAGCCCTTGGGCCAGTTGGGGTCAGCTGTCCCGGCTGTGCCCCCTCCCAGCTTCTTGTGCCCCTGGCAGAGCAGGGGAAGCTGAGAAGCCCTTGACTGGTGTAAGCCCTGCTCAGCAACAACTAAAACATCAGTGAGTTATCAACATTCTTCTCGTACTGAATCCAAAACACAGAACTGTGCCAGCTACTAGGAGGAAAATCAACTTTATCCCAGTCAAAACCAGGACAGGCTTTTTAAGCTTTATGATTATAAACTCAATTGAATCACTTTCAACTTTTCAAATATTCACTTAAGTTTAAAAATCATACAGCTTTCTGAGTTCTAATGGTTGGTATCAGAACTGACGTAATCCGACTCAGCACATTTGTCAGAAACCACAGTTTATGGTTTTAAACGGCTTTTGTAACTGGCAGTATATAAATAAAATAATTTATATAGCCTGCATTATCTGGACGTGTGTATCATTAACTCAAAAATATTCTACTTGATATATTTATCATCATTCTCAGATTTTGATATATAAACTCTACCTGTACCCAGGGGACTGGACAGCTTCTGACAAAAAACACTACTATGATGACATTGGTCTCTATTTATCTATGAGGAAGGCTTTCTGTCAAACTCTGCAAGAATGTAGGAACATCCTGGGCTTTTATTAATCTTTTATTTCTTTTGTCATGTGTCTCAAAGGGGAACTTAGCTCCTTGATATGAAGCAAATTAAATAAAAACATCAAGAAAACCTTCAATGGATTCTGAATAAAATGAATACCTCATTTGTTCAGATGTCCTTGACAATCAGTCATTTCATACAATTCAATTTCACTTCAAGCTGGGTTATAAAAACACACTAAAATTCTAAGGAGATAAAAAGTTTTAGCAGAAAATAAATAAATAAAAAGCATCATTTCATTAACTGCCTTTATAAAGCATTTAAAACTTTGAGGAATTATTTAATAACTGTTTACAAATAATAAACAAGGTTGTTAAAATGGATCTTTGCAGCCTTGGATGCTGATTGGGAGCAGTAAATTATCTTGACTAATAAAAACAACAGAAAGCCTCTTCAAATTTAAGAAATAGAAGCCTAGGGAGTATAAAATATTTGATGCTTGATAGCATAAGGCAGTTGTTTCAAGTTCACACATTTTCATTACAGTTTTTCTTCCTTTTTTTATCTTTTTTATTTCTCTTGAAAAGATGTTAACTTTAACATTATTATTGTAAAGGAGAGAATTAAGTAATTCTTCATTTTATCCCTGTGTAGATACTGCCTAGTGGTTTTGTTATGGTGAAATTTCCAGGAAAAAAAAAGAACCTGTACAATTTCAGACAACAGAGGATACTTTCTACTCTGTTCCATTAGAGCAAATTAGTTTATACCTCAACAGAGGTTGGTGTAGCTGACCAGAGATATTCTCATGTAATTGAATGCAGACCTTGACCTTCAAAATTTTTTCCATGTCATCATAGTTCTGTGAACTCAATCTTGTCTATCCCAATTTTATTGATTAATTCTATGTGATTAATAGTCTCACATAATGATAGAACGTATAGTTATCAAGGTAGTAAGGATGTTCGTTTCTACTTTTCCATCATGGAATGTGTCCTGCAGGTGTTTATTCAGGTTGAACTCTGGGATATGTTGTTTGAACATTGCTGGGTTATCTAAAGATCTGTTTCCCAACATTAAGAAAAATTCAGAAGTCATAATAATTTCCCCAGTGGTGGAAATTAAGCAATAGCAAGGAATAGTATAGGATAGTAAGTTAATAAATAACGCATAAAAATAAAGATAGATAGAGCAAAATCGACAGTTTCACAGACATAGACTGTTTCCATCCCTGAAGAATGTTGATACTTGTTAATTAACTGATAATCAACATTAAAGAAGATTTGCTTAAAGACTAACCTTAATGTTTATGATCTGTCAGTTTTCTCCTTCCAGAAATTCACACACCATTTTTTTTTCCTACTTGCATTACTAGTTTAGTTTTCTAACGTGTTTATTCATATGGAGCTGAATTCTAGAAGACACAAAGCATACCTGGGTTGTAATGGGAGTTGAAAATATTTATCCAGCTATGACTTAGTTCTCTCATGTTTTCTGGAGTTTCTGACCTTGTATCTGCCTCTCTTGTGTGGGTTAT